CATAACCATTAGTTTTTTCGTTTCAATTTTTGGCAAGATATTAGTACAACCACTGATTTATCATTCCCTATAATGATTACAGATATTGCTTTATCAGTTTTTAAGAAATTGTTCAAAATAGCTGATACGTCTGTTAGTGAGAACATAATTATGTCCGTAAAGACACAAGATTGACAATACGCCACATCGTTTGGTAATAGAATAAAGAGAAAAGGGATTTTTTTTCTTGATTATTGAACAGGTTTATCAACTCAATATGCCAAAATGATCTATTTTGGGGAGTGAAAAACAACAAGAAAAAGAAAATGAAACGGATTTGGGGTCTCCACGATATGAAATGTAAATAACTTTAAGAGTTAAGCTTTCTTACTTGTCTTTAAGATATTATGCAGAATTTGCACAATACAATGAGTATAAAATTACTAGTACTGCACAGATCCTTTTTTTCAGGACTGCTTTTTAGTTTTAGTAAGAGTTTTACGGCACTTGCAATTCAATAAGGTCATTTAAGTGCCGAAGAATAGAGGTGTTACAATAGAGTAACATACACAAAAAAGGAGGAGGAGAGATAAGTACGATAGTTGTTTGATAGGAAAGAAGGACCTGCGCACCATCCTTAGACAAGAACAATATTAGTATAAAGATAAATTCTGAGCTTGTGTAATGAATTTGTGTAATACCTTATAAACGTATTAGCCCATACTACTCTGTTTATCAATGAACTATTGCGCAAGTGTTTGTTAAGAAAGATTAAAATGATCTGGAAAGGCACTTCAATGCGAAAACACAGTGTAAGTGGTAGCCTGTTATAAGTTACGTGTGGCAAAGTTAAAAGAACATTGTGTGTTCCCCCAGTCTGATGAAAAGTGTGCTTGGCAATATAGGGAGCCTTTTAGGCTGTTCATGGTTCAGTGCTGACAATGGAACGTCTTTGACTGTCACTGTTTGGTACGATGGGTTAGTAGGAAATAAATAGTTATTGAATAGTCTCTGGCGAGTCTGTTCCACTTCAGTTTATGATTATATTGCAGTTGAAAGCATCTTCTTTAAGTTTTCTCACTTTGGCTTTTCTGTGGATACGATTGTTCAGCCTTTGTTTTGTCTCCTCTTCAGTTCAGGTTTGAGAGCAAGTCCTTTTAACTGGAAATTGACCTACAGTAGTGATGTGAATCAACAGCGGGGAATCTCGTAATTTGACCATTAATAAGGATGGAAAGTTTTTTAAAATCTCTTTCTTTGACAGCTGCTGGGCATAATCATCCTCTTTTTTCTGATGTTGTCTTATAGATGGCGGAATTCCATCGACAGTCAAGTAATATGTATTGGTTTTCTGTCCGCGAGAACAGCTTGCCCCTTTCATAGATTCATAGCAGTCCATGAGACCAACAACGAACTCACATTGTAGGTGATGGTCTCCAAGCCTGTAATATTGCTGGAACATTTCTTCGTGTGTTTCATTCGCGATAGTGTGACAGCTTCGACAATATTTCTCATAGCTTTCAAATTCATACACCTGTCTCGAAGCTTGTGAACGCCAAAATGTATTTCAGTTATAGGGCTAAGGAACTCCTCTCCAAAATGTCCTTTGTGGTTAGCTTCTTTATACTTATTGGACTGTAGACCTTTCTGAGCAGTCACTTCCTTGGCAGCACCTTCTACCATGAAATTTTCAGGTCGAGTACAATATCCAACGACAACAATTATTCTCTTCTGGCTTTATCTGTTTTCTACTCACGATGCTATGTGTTTTTTAAAAAGACTACAATGAGCATGCTTCTTCCACAAAGTGACTGTATGTACAATACAGGAGCAATACACACCTTCCACAAGCAGCAAATATGTTCTTCTTGCATGACATAGAAACCAGGTTTGAAAGATGGTCTGCATCTAAATCATCAACATAATCAGAACTTTCTGCAATACCATATCTTTGGGGACTCATGGGCCTAATAAAAAACTTTTACTAGTAGAAAATATTTTTAAAAGTGAATGTTTATAATTATAAGCTTACAAATGAGCTAAAATACCATCACTTTATGGGTGCATGAACATCAAACGTTGAGAAAGCAAGGATGAAATTTACAGTGCAGGTACCAGAACAACACGTGTCTACTTGAACTAATGGTAAGAAGCGTATAAAAGTCCCTCAAAGATGCAGTGAGAAAGAATCAGCAAGACTACTAACATGAAATGAGACACATCCCCCTCATTCACAAGTGAGAAAACAAAACGAAACATCTTCATACCATGGCGTATGCGGTCATATGCCTCGGCATATATTCTCACAAAGTGGCCTAACAAGGCATCTGAGATGCAGTTTCCTGCCCGGGAGCTCTGGGGCTAAATGTTTTTTTACTCACAACTCCGCCATTTTTAAAGCTATCAATACGCCGTTTTGAGAGAACATAGATCTCACTACTTGACATACCATGGTGGTGTTAACTCAAAACCGGTAATTCTGACGATACACCCTTTTGTGAGATGGGCGACGACACACACACACACACACAGAGAGAGAGAGAGAGAGAGAGAGAGAGAGAGAGAGAGAGAGAGAGGCAGAGAGAGAGAGAGAGGGGGGAGAGAGAAGGGGAGAGAAAGAGGGGGAGAGAGAAAGAGAGGTTGAGGAAAAACAGAAAGAAGGGGGGGGGGACTATCGGACGAAAGAGATACGGTCGCTCATGGAACGGGAAAGGGAGGATGAAAGAGAGAAAGAGAGATCAGACATGCAAAGGCAGAGAGAAAGAGTTTGGAAAAAGAAAGGTGACCAGGCTCATGGAAAGAGGTAAAGACAAACAAAAGGAACGGCATAGACTTCAACGAATGCTGCTGATCATGCACCCCTTGCAATCGATAATAATGAGATCAGACAAAAGCAAGTGGCTAATCAAAGACGCGAATGCTATCAAAATAAAAGTGTAATCTCATCCTTGATTGATATTTTCTGGTGTAATCTATGATGATTGAGCGGTTTACACAAAGTTTCACACAGTCTCAGACTTCAGGTTAGACACAACTAATTATAATATGCCTGTTTTTCCATAAGCAGCCTGTCTGCCTGCTGTTCCCACCACAGCCTGAACTCTGAGGAGACACATTATGATCATTCAACAACACTTTAAAAGAGAAAATGTAAGTTTCGTTATTCGTCCAGATTTCTCCGTTCAGTTTTCAAATAAAATGCAGCGATAAGACAGCACATTGTGTAAATCGGCCTCTATCGACAAACAGCGTATGCCAAGACTGCAGCCTATAGTAGCATAGATAACCCTGTTGAAGTTAAGCTAAAAGTGCAGGTATGTACAGTGTATATCTTACTATTCCTCTTAAACATCAAGGCCAGAAGTTTAAGCACTTTGCTAGTCTAGGGCTGGACAAAAGTTTCTTTCGGTGTGGAAAATCCCCACACCAGGTCAACTCCAGCCCGGGGACAGTGTGGGCCACAGACGACAATCTGACTATAAAATTCGATATGATAATTGTTTTTCGTTGACATCGCGGGTTATGTCCCGGGGCTATTCGACGCCAGTGGTAATAGCATCAGTGCAGATAGACCTTGGTTCGTTAATGTCCGCTTCGGTCCGATGTCATGTCTGCCATAGTTCGGCGGGGGTTAAACGCCCACATAAACATTATATAATTTTTTCGTAGGCGGGGGACCTCCGACAGACCGAGAGGGTAAAGAACTTGAATATTCTCCAAACAACCCATTTTCAAGGCCTTCCCACCACTCCCCCTTTCCATACACGGGGTCATATCGCCTCGTCAGATCGAAATCAGATTGTAACCGAAATCGTTAAATGACAGAAGGACATTAGGAATCCCCATATCAGACTAACAACTGGGGGCTCTCGTGGCCTAGAGGTTAAGGTGTTGGCCTCTCATTCAAAGGTCCCGGGTTCGGATCCGGGTAGCAACCGAAAAATTTTCTTCTCTAAAATTGTCTCCTTTCACCTACTTTCCTGCTCTCTAGCAATGTTCTGTTGTCTGCTTTCATTTCCACTTTCTGCCCCC